AGATGTCTATGTCTTGAAATTAAGCTTTAATAGCTTACTAATTTAAAGAATTTATAGCTTAGTCTTGCTTTCTTTTCTTTCTTTCTTTTTTCTCATGGGGGAATCGGTTCCCCCCTGGGGGTATCGATTCCCCTCTAGCATTCTGGAATTTCATATACGATGAGGGGGTATCGGTTCCCCCTGGGGGTATCGATTCCCCTCTAGCATTCTGGAAATCATATTCGTTGAAGGGGTATCGGTTCCCCTTGAATGGGTACCGATTCCCCTAGCCCGAAAATCCTAATTTGAGCTCGGAAATCATCCCATTTCAGCTCAAACATACATATTTCACTCTCTTTACTACTTAGCTTTCATACACTTACTTTAACTAATTATTATCCATTAAATACCTCTAAAACTTAGAAATCTAATTCTCCATGTAGAATTTAAGAATCCAACCCAAATTCCAATATGTTCTAATTTGAATTCTAACACCTCATACTTCTTAGTTAGCTTCTTGACAAGTCAAAAATCTTATTCAACCTTCAAAAACTCATTCCTATCAAAATTTCATCTAAAAATTCATTTTCCAAATCATTCTCTAAAACACTTATCTTGTTGTTTTAATGTCATATAAGCTTTCCTTTAGCTTATATAACATCCAAGCTTTCATTTCCAATCTTAAAAATCAAAGAAACTACCAAGGTTCAGATTCTTACCTTTACTTGCAAGCTCCACGTTGAGAGAAGGAAGAGAGAAAATAAGGAAGAAGGGAGAAGAAATGGGAGGGTTCTGGAACCTAATGTCACACGTGGGTCTCATATAACCCCATAACATTTTATTTTTAATTAAAAATTACTTACAAATGACCATTTGGTCCTTACTTCCATCTCAAATTTACTAACCATACATTTTAAACTATGTAATTATTCTACTTTAATCACCAAATGTTGAAACTTTGCAAATTAATCACTCACCCGACATGGAGGATGTTACAAATCTCTCCCCCTTAAGAAAATTCGTCCTCGAATTTTCATTGCACAAACAAATGTGGGTATTGATGTCGCATATCTTCTTCACGCTCCCATGTTGCTTCTTCTACTTTGTGATTTCTCCACAATACTTTGACCAAAGGAATAATCTTGTTCCTCAATTGCTTAACTTCATGTGCTAAAATTTGAATCGGTTCTTCCTCATAAGTCAAGTCAGGACGAACCTCAATCTCTTCTGGTGTCACGATATGAGAAGGGTCAGATCTATATCTTCGAAGCATTGAAACGTGAAAAACATCATGTATCTTTTCCATCTCAGGTGGTAAAGTTAGCTGATATGCTACAGGTCCTACTCTCTTTACAATCTCATATGGTCCAATAAACCGAGGACTCAATTTTCCTTTCCGACCAAATCTCAACACCTTCTTCCATGGAGACACTTTTAAAAACACTTTATCTCCAACTTGAAATTCAATTTCTTTCCTTTTAAGATCAGAATAGGACTTTTGCCGATCAGAGGCCACTTTGAGGTTATACTGAATTTCTCGAACTTTCTATTCTACATCTTGAATTAAATCCGGACCAAGAACACTTCGGTCTTTGAGTTCATACCAATTTAATGGAGTACGACATTTTCTTCCATATAATGCTTCATAGGGGGCCATCTTTATACTAGACTGATAACTATTGTTGTAAGCGAACTCTGCCAGCGGTAAATACTTTTCCCATGATCCTTTAAATTCCATTACGCACGCTCTCAACATATCTTCCAATATCTGAATAGTTCTCTCTGATTGCCCATCAGTCTGAGGATGAAAAGCCGTACTAAAGTTTAAACGAGTCCCCAACGCTCCATGCAAAGATTTCCAGAATCTAGAAGTGAATCGAGGGTCCCGATCAGAGACTATGGAAACAGGTACTCCATGCAATCTAATAACTTCTCTAATATACAGCTCTGCATACTTTTCCATAGAGAAATCTGTTCTAACCGGGAGGAAATGCGCTGACTTAGTTAATCGATCAACAATTACCCAGATTGATTCTCTTTTGTTCGGGGTCAAGGGTAACCCCGAAACAAAATCCATCGTAACATTTTCCCACTTCCATTGAGGAATGAAAAGCGGTTGCAATAATCCTGATGGAACTTGATGCTCGGCTTTGACTTGTTGACATATCAAACACTTAGACACAAATTCTGTGATGCTTCGCTTCATCCCTGACCACCAAAATCGATCCTTCAAATCCATATACATCTTGGTTCCACCCGGTGCATCGTTAACGGACTGCAATGAGCCTCTGTTAATATCTCCTTCTTCAAGTCGTCATTGTCGGGTATTACAATTCTTCCTTTACAATATAGATTTCCATCTGACTTAATCTCAAAGTCTTTAATCTCTTTGTTCTTTACTTGCTCAATTATTTTCAAACACACTTCATCTTTACATTGCAATTCTCCTATTCGTTCCAACCATGCTGGTCTAAGGGTTAATTCTGCACAAAGACCATCGTCTCCCGTTAAAGATAATCTTGCATCCATAACTCGTAAAGCTGCAAACGTCTTTCTACTCAGAGCATCTGCTACCACATTAGCCTTTCCGGGATGATAGTCAATTATCACATCATAATCCTTTAAGAACTCTACCCATCTACGTTGCCTCAAATTTAATTCTTTTTGAGTCATCAGGTACTTCAGGCTCTTATGATCAGTATATAAGTAACAACGCTCCCCATAAAGATAATGACGCCAAATCCTGAGAGCGAATACTACAGCAGCCATTTCTAGATCATGAGTGGGGTAATTCCTTTCATGTGGTTTCAACTGTCTCGATGCGTACGCTACCACTTTTCCTTCTTGCATTAATACACACCCCAACCCGTTATGGGATGCGTCACTGTATACTACAAAATTCTTGCCAGATTCTGGTTGAACCAATATCGGAGTTTCCGTCAGAATTCTCTTTAAAGCTTCGAAACTTTCTTGACATTCAGAAGTCCAAATAAATGGTACATTCTTTCTCATTAGCTTTGTTAGAGGCAGCACAATCATCGAAAAATTCTTAACGAATCTCGATAGTAACCGGCAAGTCCAAGAAAACTCCGAACTTCAGACACATTCTTAGGAACTTCCCAATCCATTATAGCTTTAACTTTCTGAGGGTCTACTCTAATCCCAACTGCCGAGATCACATGCCCCAGGAAAATTACTTCCTTTAACCAGAACTCACATTTGGACAATTTGGCATACAACTTTTTATCTCTTAAAATTTGCAAGACGATCCTCAAATGTGTGCTATGCTCTTCATGGGATTTCGAGTATACCAGTATGTCATCAATAAAGACAACAACAAACTGGTCCAGATAGGGCTGAAAAATCCTGTTCATGAGATCCATAAAAGCAGCAGGTGCATTCGTTACTCCGAATGGCATTAATATGAATTCATAATGACCATATCTCGTTCTGAAAGCTGTCTTCGGAATATCTTTCTCCTGGATCTTCAATTGATGATAACCCGAACGTAGATCGATCTTCGAAAATACCGAAGCTCCTTTTAGTTGATCAAACAAATCATCAATGCGCGGAAGAGGATACTTGTTCTTGATGGTCACCTTATTGAGCTGTCGATAGTCAATGCAAAGGCGCATTGATCCATCCTTCTTTTTAACAAATAACACCGGAGCTCCCCAAGGCGATACACTTGGTTGGATAAATCCCTTCTCTAGCAATTCTTGTAATTGATTCTTTAACTCTTGCAATTCTTTCGGAGCCATTCGATAAGGTGCCATTGCAATCGGAGCTGTTCCCGGCATTATTTCAATTTGGAATTCTACCTCTCTATCCGGAGGTAATCATGGCAATTCAGCAGGAAAAACATCAGGGAACTCTCGAACTCTTGGAATTTCCTCTAACCTTTTCTCTTGAGCTCTTGAATCAATCACATTTGCAAGGAAACCCTGACATCCTTGTAGCAATAATTTCTTGGCAGACATCACTGATATTACATTTGCTAAAGGATTAAACTTTTCACTGCTCACACTTATCTCTGTTCCTTCTGGACTTTTCAGAGTTACCTTTTTCAATCTGCAACTAACATCTCCATAATAACGGAACAACCAATCCATTCCCAGAATCACTTCAAACTCGTCAAAGGGTAATTCCATCAGATTAGCAGGGAATTCAATTCCCTGAACCTTTATGGGACACCCCTTACAGACTTTATTCACCCGGGCACTATGGCCTAACGGAGTTGTTACTATAATCTCATTACTTGTAGCTTCTAAGGGAATCCCCAACTCCTTTACTAACTTACTTGTAATATAAGAATAATTAGAACCCGGATCAATCAGTACCAATACTAATTTATCATACAACTGAAAAGTACCTGCTAATATCAGGGTCATCACGGTCTTCACTTGTCTTTAGGTTGTACACTCGAGCAGTGGATCGAACTTCAGGTTGAGCAGAGAATTCAGACGGGTTCCTTCCTCTGCCTCTTCCTCGTCCTCTTTGTGAGAAAGAACCAGCTCTTCCAGATGGTGCCGGCTCACCAACAATCAAGGGATAATCCCGGACAAAATGTCCGGCCTCTCCGCATCGAAAACAAGTCCCAGCAGCCATACGACAATCCCCATAATGGTTTTTCCCGCAGTGCTCACACTGTTTCCTTTGACCCGGAGTAAATCTCCCAGCACCGGATTCCACTGACTGCGTCTGTCTAGTTCTTGCCTGACTTGCTCCCCTAGTAGACGATGCAACTGATTCTGATCTAGTTTGTGATCGAATCCTGAGTCTCTTCCCCTTTTTGTTGGTGTTGAACCAGAATAAGTAGTCGTCCTCTTTGATGTCTGAACCCTTGAGTCCCCGAATCTTTCATTCTGAGCCCTTTCAAGAGCTTTTGCACGATTGATCACCTCCTGGAACGAGGACAAGTTTAATACTATCAACATTTCTTTAAGTCTAGGGCGCAAGCCCTCCACGAACCACTCGCAAGCATCTTTTTCAGTAGGCACAAGTTCAGCTGCAAACCTGCTCAGCTTATTAAACTCACATTCGTACTCATACACAGAGCGGCTCATCTGCTTCAAATTCATAAATTCCTGCTTCATTTGTCGGATAAACTGATCTCCAATATACTTGTTTTTAAATTCTTCTAAAAACAAAGACCAAGTCAACTGGTCGGTTGACATCCTCATGGTGACATTCGTCCACCATATCCTCGCCTGACCCCTTAATAAAGACACAGCTCCATCTAATTTCTCCACTTCGGAACAGTGGAGACCATCTAACATGATTTTCAAATCATTCAACCAAAGATCCGCTGACACCGGACCTTCCTCAGCTTCTCCTTAAATTCGGGAGCTCCTAAACTTCTCAACTCTTTTGCTACATTAATTTGTGGAGTTAGTGGAACAGGAGGTGAAGACGCGTCAGAATAGCGTCTAACGTTCTGAAGAACGTATCTTGATCTTGTACAGGCACTCCTTGAGATGCCTGTTCTTCACCTTGCCTGGCCAGGGCAGGTGAATTACTGCTTTCAGCATGCCTATCTTCTCCCGCTTCACTTCGGGAGCTATTATGTCCGGACATCTAATAAAAATAAACACATTGTTCTATTAGCAAAACAACATACTCATACTATACCAGATCAGAAGTTCTCACTATTTGTTGGCATGTATTCCATTTAAAGACTCCATAGACTCTGGTTTATGCCTAGAATCGGCTAAACCATAGCTCTGATACCATTAAATGTAACACCCCCAACCCATACCCGACCCGGATATGAGTCAGAGATACTACATTGACTTTAAAACACAACTCTTAATAAATAATAGTAAAATATTTGTACTTGTATTAAGAAAATACAATAATATACATACTGAAATATAAGTTTACCAAAATATTCAGAGCATACACAACTTAACCCTTTAATTACATGCCAACTGCTATTTACATCACAAAATGACCTACTGATTAAGTTGCTTCTGATCTGATGGTTGCAGGAGTAATACTGTCAAGCTGCTTCACCTGTCTCGTCTAATTCCTCGGATCCTACGTGTGAAACACTCACACGCTAAGTCATCGACTTAGTGAGGCAATAATAATAACAAGGCAATGTAATGTAATGAAAATGTCAGGATCATATGAGATGAGATGCAAACATGTACTTAATCAATGTAGTATACTTCATCAATATCCATACCTGTAAGCGTATGACTGTAACATTCATGAATCTGTATTAATAAGTTTATTGGCCCATGATAGCATATTGAGAACCTAAGGTATTTGAGTAATGTGAGGTTGTGCACTATGCTGTCACCACAGCTCGTATAAATGCACCGAAGTGCCCCGTAGAATTGCACCGAAGTGCCCGTAGAATTGCACCGAAGTGCCCGTAGAATTGCACCGTAGTGCCATATAATGATGTCCATAAGGACCACATAGAATTCCTTAAGAATCATATACATATACTATGGATCAAGTATGTGTCTTTCAAGACTTCACACAGGTTCCAAAGGATATACATATGTCCTAAAGAACCGAGTATACCCTCTACCCTTGGCATGCCAACTATACATATAGTTCTCATCTACATAACATGGGCTTATACATTTCCCGTAGTTCATATCACGTAGTCATATTATTTCCATACCTTTATCACATAGTCATATCATTTACATACCTTTATCACATAGCTCATATAACTTTTCTGCATATTCATGTCATGCAATACATATCATATGAATTCATGTCATGTAATACATTTAATATAAATTCATGTCATGTATCATAATATGGAATGTGATCATATGTCAAAATATGGAATCTAGACTTATCACAAGTCTAGAACTGAATATAATACTATATTCATGCTATGCATATGCACTCACCTATACTTCTTTGCCTTTTCCTCGATCGATTCTACTTGTAGATTGTTCCCGAACTCGAGTAGGCTCGGTATCTACATAAACATAATTTTCAAGATGATCATCAGATGTCTATGTCTTGAAATTAAGCTTTAATAGCTTACTAATTTAAAGAATTATAGCTTAGTCTTGCTTTCTTTTCTTTCTTTCTTTTTTTCTCATGGGGGAATCGGTTCCCCCCTGGGGGTATCGATTCCCCTCTAGCATTCTGGAATTTCATATACGATGAGGGGGTATCGGTTCCCCCCTGGGGGTATCGATTCCCCTCTAGCATTCTGGAAATCATATTCGTTGAAGGGGTATCGGTTCCCTTGAATGGGTACCGATTCCCCTAGCCCGAAAATCCTAATTTGAGCTCGGAAATCATCCCATTTCAGCTCAAACATACATATTTCACTCTCTTTACTACTCTTAGCTTTCATACACTTACTTTAACTAATTATTATCCATTAAATACCTCTAAAACTTAGAAATCTAATTCTCCATGTAGAATTTAAGAATCCAACCCAAATTCCAATATGTTCTAATTTGAATTCTAACACCTCATACTTCTTAGTTAGCTTCTTGACAAGTCAAAAATCTTATTCAAACTTCAAAAACTCATTCCTATCAAAATTTCATCTAAAAATTCATTTTCCAAATCATTCTCTAAAACACTTATCTTGTTGTTTTAATGTCATATAAGCTTTCCTTTAGCTTATATAACATCCAAGCTTTCATTTCCAATCTTAAAAATCAAAGAAACTACCAAGGTTCAGATTCTTACCTTTACTTGCAAGCTCCACGTTGAGAGAAGGAAGAGAAGAAAATAAGGAAGAATGGAGAAGAAATGGGAGGGTTCTGGAACCTAATGTCACACGTGGGTCTCATATAACCCCATAACATTTTATTTTTAATTAAAAATTACTTACAAATGACCATTTGGTCCTTACTTCCATCTCAAATTTACTAACCATACATTTTAAACTATGTAATTATTCTACTTTAATCACCAAATGTTGAAACTTTGCAAATTAATCACTCACCCGACATGGAGGATGTTACAAGTCATGTATTCGAATCAGGTCCAGATATCGAACCTCACATTGGTTAACTCCCCATCATGGAACGTTCATCCCATATACAGCAGGTCAATCCCGTCTCCATTTAGTTATAACCAATTTTGCTTTTTTATGCACATTTTCGTCTCCATTGTGACTCGAATACGAAATTGCAGCGATATAATTATCCAACACTTGACCATTATTGCACCCATTGATTCTCCTAACACAGATGGAATTGACCCAGGTGCGTTTGCATTTTATAGGTTAAAATTTTAAACTCGTTTGTTATGAGCCTTTAAATGCTAATTTCGTGCCTTTTTCTTTTTCCAGATTCGTGCACAAACACCAGAATTGAAGACAGTTTTGTAGTCTCAGGTGATGACTGCATAGCTGTTAAAAGTGGTTGGGATGAATACGGGATCAAGTTCAACATGCCCACCAAGAACTTAGTGATTAGAAGGTTCACCTGCATATCTCCTGACAGCGCCACCATTGCTCTCGGAAGTGAGATGTCCGGCGGGATCGAAGATGTAAGAGCCGAAAGCATCACAGCAATCAATACTCAATCTGCTGTGGGAAGAGGAGCTTATGTGAAAGACATTTATGTTAGAAACATGACAATAAGCACAATGAAGTATGTGTTCTGGATGATAGGCTCTTACGGCCAGCATCCAGACCCCGGATTCGACCCGAAAGCAATCCCGATAATCAAAGGAATCAATTACAAAGACATTGTGGCTGATAATGTCACATATTCAGCGAGATTGGAAGGGATCAAGAATGATCCTTTCACCGATATTTGCATCTCGAATGTCAATATAAAGTTGACTGAAAAGCCGAAGGAGTTGCAATGGAACTGCACTGATGTTCAGGGAGTTACCAACCGAGTGACCCCTGTTCCATGCAATTTGTTGCCTCAGAAGGAGATTGATTGCCCCTTCCCCGAGGCCAGGCTGCCTATTGAAGATGTCCAGTTGAAGACTTATTCGGTCACCGGATACTTTTCATAATTTGTACTCTACCCTTAATACTAATAACAAACCGTACTTTAGCATCTGGGAGAAAATGAACAAAACATTTAATGAAATACCTATACTACTCGAGACTTAAGCATGTTGGATTCGGACATGTCCAACACGAGTATGGTTTAACTTTTTCTATTTTTATAAATTTAAAAATTCTTTGAATAATATATTTTCGTATTCATACGTCGTATATCGATATTTCAACAAAAATAATGCAAAGAAAAAACTCATATTTCCATCTACCTGCATAGCAGCAGCATAGAAAATACTTTGTTTATATTAGAAAGTAGGCATAACATCACAGTAAGATTATGCAGTCGAAACTTGAATAAAGAAGATGAGACCCAGAACTGTACAACATAAATACCCCCTTCAAAACAAAGATAGAGCACGCACTGTACACTTTCTTTCCAACTCTTCTCCTTCCGTTCTACACCCGGTTGTCCAAAATTCCCTTAGTTGCAGAATGAATGAGGAGAATTATTTGGAAACTTTGCAGCCGATGATCCCTACAAGTAGCATATATACTCACTGAATATCACGGTCCAGAACTCTCTTTGATTTAAGTCCTTTCCTGGCATGAAAGTAGAGTCTATTGATTATACAAGTATAAAAGAGGTAATGCACAGCTGAAATTAGAGAAACCTACCTACAATATTAAGTGATTCTTTTAGATTGGTCGTCATCAACAGCATTACAAGCATCGTCATTGACAATTGTCTCCGTGTCAATCTCATATGAAGAAAGCAATTTTCTCTGTATCACAAAGCAATATCTTATAGGTTTAGGAACAAATATATAGATTAACCAAAGAAAATACTAGAAGTTAGAAAGTTTAAGAGGTAGACGTTTTACCAAATGGTAAGTCAAAAAGAAACAAGAAAAGTCGGGGACAGCTATGGAGCTACTAAACGAAATCATCCGACATCAAGATATCATTAATATTTAAACAGGCATATATGTGTGGTGATGCATTGAAAACATAAATCTCTTCATCTCTTAAATTTTCAGCCTAATATCACATAACGACTTCCAAGATTCAAAACAAATCATGCACAGAGCCAATTGCATCATGCAAGACTGATCAGTAATATCTTAGGAATCATCATCATACTTTGTCAAACTGTTGTATTTATAAATGCTGACTACAGAAATCTCATTGTGGTTTACGTAGAAGAATGCACGGTGCTGCAAATTGTATACCCCAAAGGATGATCAGACCCATTTATCTCAGGCTGTGGCGTTGCAATTCAAACAATATCTACCAACATAAATTTTCTTGGTGTTCAACCCCTTCACCTATTAGAATTTAGAAGGAAAGACTAAAACTACTAGTAGACCAACATTACTCCTTTTATTAATCGAGTCTCATCATGCATATCGTGAAGGAAGTAAACGTTAGAAAGAGCTAAGAAATAGAAACTCACATGATCTTCAAAAGTCAGGGCTTGTCAGATTGATGGAGAGATTTCTCATCAACAAAAGCACCTAAATAGAACAAAAGTATTAGCAATCATGTAAGCAGCAAGATCAAGTTGGATTGTATAAATTGACATTGTAAAAAAAAGCATACTGTTTCAACATCTATTGGATCCATCTTCTTAAGTTTCTGCAGATGACCGATAGTGTTTGGATCAAAGACACTACCAATAAAACTGTATATTTGAGCAAAGTCGGGCAACACTGCACCAAGCAAAATGCTAGTTTAAAGGATGTGAGGATAACATAGCTAGCATATAAGATTATAAAATTACGGTAATTTTACAACAAACCTCTCGGTGCATGACCTTGATTTCCCTGATCAGATATCTCCCGAATTTGTCTCCTCTTCTGGGTACTTTCAGTGCTACTACATGAGTTATTGGTCATCCCAATACCTATAAAAAAATATGCAACACCAATTAAAATCTTAAATTTTTAAAGGGGCTAACCCTACCAAAAAAATGAGTATAATGTTAGAATACTAGAATTTGGGGGGGGGGACCTCTTCTATCTTGTGCGAAACTGATGGTTTGTGTGTTGTTTGTTTGGGAAGATGCAGAAGCTCTAGTAACAGGGTTAATAAACATCGTTGGGGGATCGGATCTAAGAACAAATCCAGCATCAAGTAAAGTAGTAGGTGACTGCAGAGGCTTGGATACTTGTGGGTGTCCAAGAGCTGCCACATGTGACACACAGAGGCAGGTTATTAATTTGAGTTTGCTCCGTGATTTTACGGCGATGCTTAAGATCAAATATCCTCACCGTTTTTTGAGGCTTTTTGAGGATATGGACGGGAGGCTTTCCTTTTAGGTCGAGGTGGAGGTAGGTGTTCACTTGTTCCATTCTTTTGAACCTTTAGAAAGTACTTCTGGGCATGGCTACGGATCTATAAAAACCAAATGGCACTTCATTTCAAATGTTTTTCATGGGCATTCCTTTCTGCACCTATTGCTAAAAGCAAAAATAAAGCTTTAATACTGGTTTTTACAGCATCCGGGTTTCTAGCCTCTATCCTTGCAAGTTGCAAGATACAAAGCCAATACAGTAAATTTTAGTTTTACCTGAATAACAGTCTTCGATCCAACATAAGCTTCAATCTTTTTCCAGTCACGATCGAATCTGAACAGAACCCAGGGAACGAAAACAACAAATGCAAGTGAGACCAGGAAAACCATTTTTGGAAAATATAATCACACATAAAACATGACTGAAAAAGTTCTGAATGTAAAAAGAAGAAACTATATAACAGCTGCATAATTAGGAATTTATATTGCATTATTGATGCAGCGGATGCATTTTCAGTCGGACTGTGTTTATTGCAATTGCCAATGCATTGAGCAGTAACACAGTGACTTGCATTACATACCGACTATGAATATCCACAAGAAGAGCCAAAACAGCAAAATATAGACCATAACATCGCGTCCACTGCCGCTATCTAAAATCTCTCACATCTTCAAATATTCAAATAGTTTATTTCAATTCTGATTCTTTTCAGTTAAATAAGAAGAGTAAAGGTAACAGAATATAAGAAGGAACGTATACAAACTTAACATAAACCAATCTAGAAATTTCAGCTACTTAAAAATAAAATAAAATAATACAATCTTAAATATCGAATTTCATTAAAAAAATCTTAAAACTGAATAGCCAAAGAAAAGTTATAAATTTCCTTTTTTAAAACCCCTAATTTGAAATGGAAACAAAGCAATTTCGTAGCGCAGAGAGAAATTTGTTTGTTACAGTTGGAGAGCTTCGAGGAACTTGTCGTGTTCAGGTTCAGTCCAGCCTTCTCTAGACTTGCTTATAGTGCAGGGCTTTCGGATTTTCTGATTCGAATCCTCCGCAGATGAAACCGTGGCCGCCGCCGTATCCACCGTGCCAAACGGTCCTAGGCCGGGCAACGCCATTCCAATCGAATCAAGGTAAAATAACTCAACCGCGTTCGGGTTTTAAGAAACCATGTAAGATACTGGCGGCTGAGGTTTGCATATAATCGTATCAAGAGGGCTCACGGTTTGGATTGGAGAATGGACACATCCTGGTTTTCATCCGATATGAGAATTGGCGAATAAGAATCCGCCACATATTATTATGTTAATCAATTATTAAAAGTTAAAAAATAGTTTTATGTATATGATATTATTTTGTTGAGTTTTATGACTATTAAAAATTATAAAATAGTCATATAATTATTCATACGTTTTAAATTTATTTATTTTTGTTAAAAATTAACAATTGTTTGAACTGGACGCTAACTTGTTGACTCAATAAAATAACATTCTATAGTGAGGTTTCTATTGTTTTTATCATATCACAATTAACATGTTAATGTCCAGCTCAGACGACCATCAAATTTTTAACTAAAAATGTCGAGTTTAAAACATATGAATAATCAGGTGATCATTTAATAATTTTTAATAGTCGAGAGACTAAACAAAATAATATTTTGTAGTCAATGGACCATTTTAAAACTTTTAATAATTAAAAGATTTAATAAAACAACACTATATAGTCGAGAGACCATTTGTATATTTTACCCAATATTTTATGAATTTGCTTACTAAGTATGAAAATATAGTTAATGGATTAGATTCTATTTTGTTCATTGAACTAAACAAGCAATATTAAAGAAAAAAAATTTGCTCATTTAATAAATGAATTGCTTTAATCACTATGTAATAAATTAACTAGATGTTGACATATTGCAATACGAGAAAAAGAAAAATTATTCAAAAATTTGTTATAAATGGAAATAAATGTAGAATTTTATGTAAAAGGTTAAAAAGTTGCATTATAAATTTAGAAGATGTAAAATTATAAAATTTCTTAAATAATCAATAAAAATATATATAAAACACTTAAATTATATGAAATTTTAAAACTTTTAAAATGTGACTGTACGATGGGTCCACCCTTGATTATAAGTAAACAGAAAGAGATTAATATATAGATTTATCATCTAATTTTTGTGTAATTAGGTACTTAACTTTTTAATATCATTTGGTAATTAAATTTTATTTAATAATACGATTAAGTACTTAATGTTTTTTAGATTTACAATAGCCTAAAAATTGAACACCTAATTATTAAATTTGTAATCCATTATTTCTTTAACTATACTATACTTAATTATACAATATAAATAAATATTATATTACACATAAATATCAAAATGATATATTAAAAATTTATTTACCCAAACTACAAAGAGCTCGAGTGTATCTCATGAGAAAACCCAAGATAATCTGATACATATTAGCCCAACACAACATAATACGTTACTTTACATTTTGTCATTGATCGAGTCCAAAAGACTAAAAGTACATCATTAGATAATATGATAATACGCGAGAAATTGTGAACATGGATAAATTGAGGGGGTTGACTTAAAATTTTAAAATCAATAAATTAAACAAATAAAGTATATATAATTAGTATAAATCTTTATAATATTTAATAATGATTGATTAATAAATAAATTAAATATTTATACTTTCTGTAATTCAAATTATGCTCGTCTTGTTTGAATTTAAAACCTAATTCAATTATTATTGAAAATTTAATGGTGTCTTGCTGAATATAATTTATGGCACTGTCTTTTCAAACTTCCACTTGAGAAACTAAGAAGAAGAAAACACCATAGTGCTCCACCTGTTTAAGGACATCAAATTACAACTGGTGACAAAGTCATATAATCATAGACAATAAGAAATAAATAAAGAAAGAGAACACGTGGTGACATTGTTAACTTCTCCTTGCTTTCGGGGTGACCCCGCCCCTCCTTTTTACCTGTCAAAACAAAGAGTTGAAGGGAATTAAATTGATGTTAATTGTGAGTGTTATATACATTCTTATTATAAATCTGAATTAAATTTAAATTTGGAATAAATTAATTTAAATTGAATACAATCTAAATTAAATTAAAGTTGAATGGTTTGATTATTATTTGTAAGCAAATGATAATTTATTTTAAGGAATGAAATCGGTGATAGTGGGGAGGACCTAAATTTGGATAAGATACAGCTCTACAAAGCTATATATTCATAGGCCGGGGTTTCATTTGTCAATCTCAACCTAAGCAACTAAGAGAAGCAAACCAAGAGAATTAATTCAGTCAAAAAGTTGGAATTTCACCATATTAATTAAACTTAAAGCAAGTATTTTTGTTGTTTCAAATATTCACATACATTAACTTGCTTCTAAAACATCTAATCCTACTCAAAAAGTTCCAACAATCTGCTCTATTATAAGTTTGATAAATGCTGGTCCACTTCTTAATATCATCATCATAAGCACTACTCCCGTAACCTGCTTATAAACAGTGAAAATTAATATTTATACAACTTTTCAAAAATTAACATTATAAAATAGATAAATAGTTAAAACTAATTCGAATATCTTCATCAATGGAGATTATGTGAATGTAATACAGATGCAAAGCAGGCAACCATTTCCTTAAAAGGCATGTGAATGAGCTCTGTAGACGTGATTGGACGGTGAGTAGTCAACATTCTTGACAGGGGGGAAATAAACTGGTTGACGCATTGATTAAAAACGTGAAGACGGATATTCTTGAAATTGTTCATCATGTTATTCCACCGGATTGGATCCAACCGTTGTTACGTGGGGATATTATGTTTAATTAGTTTGTTTTAATATTACTGCGATTACTCTTTTTCTTTCATTTAAATTTAAAAATATTTTTTAATGAGATTTCTATTAATATTCTCCTTTTATGACTACCTCTCAATATAATTAACAGTTGACAAAGGAAAAAAAAAAGGCATGCAGGAATCAAAATATAACGAAGTGGTGTGCAGTGGAGGGGATTCCACGCCCAATAGGAGCGCTTGATCATTCCAAAACATTTTTCATTAAGGCAAACTCCGTACGCGTGTAGGATAATTTGGAAGCACAGAAAGCATTGGCCTTCCGAGTTCCACTGCCCATATTGGCTCTTGGCTTCTGGCCCCACTATTGACATTTTTATAAAGTCAAAGAAAAAGCAAAAGTTGAAGATAATGAAACTAAAAAACATTTAAAAAAATTATCTCAAGGTATTATATTTTTTAAATAATGTTAAAGTTTAATAATTGTGAATAGAATAAATTGAATTGAAAAAATTATTTTTATATTAATTTATACAATATTTTATTTAAATTAATCAATTGATATATAAAATATCGATAATTATAAAAAAAAAACATAACAAAAATCCTATAAGAATCGAGTGGAAAAATAAGGCAAATGATCGCCAATCAAGAAAATTATGTAATGATAATGTTTTATTTGCATTGCATAAATTTAAGACTTTAATTAAAAACGGATGAGTAAGACCCATCTTTTCTCTCTTTTCTGTCGTGTATAAATAATAGAAAGCAATTACCTAGTCAAGTGCACCACCGTTTCCTGTCTCTTCTTTCTCTTTCTAACCGTCCTATGTCCCCTTCCCTTTTTATCTGCTAATTTCTTCTCTTTCACACCCCGGGTGAAGTCAGCGCCGTCATTTTCTATCTTCTTTCCTTTCCGCCTACGTTTGATTTTGTGCATACCAAGAATGGCTACTGGCTGGGATCTTTACGCGGTGGTGAGGAGTTGTTCGTCCACCATCAACACGGCCAGCTCCGCCGTAGGAAGCAACCGGTCCTCAAAAGGGAATGGCAGCGGTTGCCACGAGGACCCTTTGGCTTGTTTGGCTTCGTCGATGTTCGAGGAAGAAGATGGCCCGTTTGCACTTCCTACTCTAAGTAAAAGTGGTTCTTTGCAAGATTCTCACGAACCCTTGTTGATACACGCCGACCCCACCCCCATGGGCATTAATCGAGCCATAGATCCGAGCTTTTCGAGACCTGTTAACGGAGGATCCAGTAGCGAACATCATCAGATAAAACAGCAGCAGCAGCAGCAGCAGCTGCAACAACAACAACAACCCACCATTAGGACGAGCCCAGCTGCTCCTTTTTTCACTTTCGGCCAATTTGTAAACCAGAGACAACCACGACCGCTACAGTTGAAGAAACGAGTTCAACAGCATGAGGTTCCAACACCAAGAAAGAGGTGATAGTTTGTTCAAAAGATTGAAGCTTTGCAGTTCTTTGCTAGTATAAAAACTGTCCATTTTTATCTGGTTTTTGTAGGAAGAATCAGAAGAGAACCGTTTTCCATGTAACGGGTGAGAATTTATCTTCAGATCAATGGTCATGGCGAAAATACGGACAAAAGCCCATCAAAGGCTCCCCCTATCCAAGGTTGAATCAATTTCTGTGCCCTCCAATGGCTTCTTTCCTTACTATTTTTTGTTGTCTTTTAATTACTTTTTGTTTGTTTGTTTAGACACTACTACCGATGCAGTAGCTCAAAAGGGTGCTCAGCGAGGAAACAAGTCGAGCGTAGCAATTTCGAACCCGACACCTTTATCGTTACCTACACGGGCGACCACACTCACTCTTGGCCCACTTACCGGAACTCGCTCGCCGGAAATTCTCGAGACAACAGGTTATCGACTATTCGAAAGGTCGCTAATGCTTCCTCCACCTCTTTGATCTCTCCAACGACACCACTTTCGGCTTTTGAAGACGGCGGCAACGTGCATAACACGGGTGATAGTGGAGATAAAGAAGGTGAAACCGTGAACAACATGGCTCTTCAAACGTCTCCCGACGCAGAGAACGATGATGATAATGATGTTATTTTGATCCCCAACGTGCATGTTAATGAAGATCTTTTCAATGGGTTGGGAGAACTCATTGGCGGTGCTGGCGGTGGCAGTAATAGTATTTGTAGTGGATTAGAACCCAACTGGCCAGCCTTCCGTGGTCACTTTCCTTCTCAGGATACCGGCAACTCTGCCTCAAGCGCCGGAGCCCCGCTGGTCGTGAGTGATATGCTGATTTCAACCTTTATTTTGCAAAGTTGGGGTTTTCATTCCCTTCTTTTGGTACATAGAAACTAAGAATGCTCGAAGGAGCTGAACTTAAATTATCATCCTTTAATGCTTAGACAAGTTAACTAATAGGATAAAGCATATTAGAGGCATAAACTTAGGATCGTTTTAGTTATTAAAGGATATTTTATAATAATCAGATACAATTTAATGATTATTGTATAATAATTAGATAAAATTAAAGCATGTTGGGATGCCTTTATCACGAGACAAAAAGCAAAGATATCCTTCTATTTTCTGTAGATTCACAGGGGCGGAGCGGAATTTGACAATTTGCTAGCTGGATCGGTTCCATGGTCAAATGTTTCTTATAAAAACACGGAAGATCAGTCAAACTTATTTTATATGATTTATTAATATTATATATATAATTAATTGGTTTAATTGATTAATCCAATTTAGTGTACTATTTGTTCCCTCGGACATGTAAGATAAAAAAAAGTTCCATTCATAATGATCGATAAACTACATAACTATTTATTTAAATCACTATAATTAATTATTTAAAAATCACTATATTTAAACTAGGGTAAATTACACCAATCATCACTTATTTTTTCTTACTCTTCTATTTCATTCACTGTACTTTAAATTCCTTCAGTTTTCTCACTGAATTTAATACAAATAGCTTTTTTGGTCACTCAGCCATTTTCTCACTGAACGGTATTATACATGGGCTGTTATATATATAGGTGTAAAATGACATTGTTTTGGTGCAAATTTTTGTTTTTCTAAAACGACATCGTTTTAACGTCGTTAACTTTTTAATGGTTGAGTGACAAAAAAATTAATTGTATTCAATTTAGTGAGAAAATTGAACGGATTTAAAGTAAAATGAATAAAATATGAGAGATTAAAGTTCATTGATGATTGATGTAATTTACCCTTAAAACTATTCATTATAAAGTATATAAATTAAATATAATTTAAATCAAATGAACTATTGGGTCTCGGAGCTACCCTTCCACTATGTTGGGCTGTTCGTGTTTTGACCCAAAGTGCAAATCAAGACTTCGAAAATCACCCGGATGAGAGCGGAACCGTCCGATTTTATGGACTTGGCCCGCACAAGGAGCAGTCGGCTGAGATTTATTACGCGATTTCACCACCATTTAACTCAACTAAAAACGTTCCTGCGATTGATCTCGAGGCCGTTGTCGGCGAAGGTGAAGGAGACGATGGGGATCGTCGGATTAGACGTGGTCCCTAATGCCAGGGAAGTTCTTATTGGTCTCTACAAGGAGATCCAGGTTGTTCCCGAGGACGAGGGATACCGTTAGGCCGTTGAAAGCTTCACGCGCCACCGTCTTAAGGTTTGTTTGTCAAGAGGAAGAAGATTGGGAAACGATCGAGAAGCGCCTCGGATGTGGCCAGGTCGAGGAGTTAATTGAGGAAGTGCGAGACGAGCTCACTCTTATCGGGAAAATGATCGGTTAGGACCATTTAATCTCTCTTTTTTTCCCATTCTCATTTGATTTTTTTTTGTTCGAAGGTATATGCCGTTGTTGGGTATTAGTTAAGTCGGAAAGTTTGAGGCTGATGAAGCTCAATCTTATCGTTATGCCAGACTTTGTGTTAGATGTGTTCTTTGCCTAAATGACTGTTCCAGTTTTTCTTTAATCAAATCTGTGTGCATTAAAGCTTTTATCAGCTGAGAATTCTTTGGGAGCCGAATATGCATATATTTCATAGGGCTAGCATATCCAAATTAGTTAACATTAATAATTTCTTATCTATGCTGCGATTGGCGTGTTCACCAATTTCCTCGATCTTCAGAATTTGATGTATTGAGACATTAACCATTACTTGGTTACTGTTACTCTAACGTTTCGAGACTTTACGACATGCCGTTTTTCTGATTGCTTTGCTTGCCCCGTTGCATTATTATCTGTTGCTCGTAAAAGCTTTGGTGCCTTGGTATTTGTAGGTTGTTTGATGTTCTTTGAGCTGAACCCTTGCGTTTAATTTTGTAAATTGCAAGAAAATTTACGATATTTTGCATTCTTCTTAGTCCTAATGTTTGTTCTCTGCCGTGTTGGGCTACAGAGTGGGATCCCTGGGGTGTTCCCGATGACTACGAATGCGAGGTTATCGAAAATGATGCTCCGGTTCCGAAGCATGTTCCGCTACACCGACCCGGTCCTCTTCCAGAGGAGTTTTACAAGACGTTAGAAGCTGTTTCTAAGAAGGATGAGCCTAGAATCACGTCCGGGGAGCTGCAGATAAAGGAGTAGGTTGCTGTAGGCACCGAGGTTTCAGAGTCAGATTGAGTTGTTCTCTTGTTCTTGTTTGTTAATCTTGTATTGTGCCTGTTTCCATCGATGGAATCGGGATTTAACCGAAGATAAAAGCTGGACTGTAACCCTTCAGTTGATAATAAAATCGAATGCCAGTGGTCCCAAAACACTACTGAATCTTTGTTGGTGTGTTCTAACTATTGTGTTTTTTTGGGTGATTCAATCGTAAATTAATCACATAATTAGGACTATTTTTCGTAACCATTAAAACAAAACTAGCAACTTAAGATCACGTAACGATCATATAATAAAAGATTAAAAATGTAACGACCATATAAGAAAAGATTAAAAATCTAGTTAAGAAATTTGAATAAAGATAGATATAATATAATCATGATATGTATTAATTAATCTAAATAAAATATTATAAAATATTAATTTTGGATATACAATATTAGTTTGAAATTTTAATTAAATTAAAACTCTTATTGTTACAATTTTATCAAGATTTACATTAAATTAAGGTTCCGTTTGATATGTCTTTTTAAACTCACTTTTAGTAAAAAATTCTATTTTGATTGTAAAATTAATGTAAAAGGGTCAAAAATAAAAAAAATACGGTGGAAATGGTGGTTTCAAACCAACGGCAAAAACTATGATTTATAATTTTTTTATTTTCAACTTTTCGTTTGGGAGGAAAATATAATTTTACCCTTATTAATAGATAGACTCCACTTAATTATGCATTTACATTTTATTTTAATAATCTAATATTAACAACTTTAAAAAATAATTTAATACTTAATAATTTATTTAAATTATTTAAAAGTGAATAAAATGCATGGTTTATATATTGAAATATTAAATGGTGAGTTGTTATAAAATATATTTTTATTACAATTTGTTTCAATTTTTATAGATCAAATCAACTTTTTTTTTATTTTGTTTAGCTGGCGGCAGCACCAGTTACAATGTTGGTTGTTGACCGTCGGTTGTTTTTTCTCTTTGTTTTTTTTTTGTTTTTAATAAGAATAATTTTTTATAATGTGTTTTATCTCTACCTTTATAGCACGTTTATCTATGTCTTTATGGCATATTTTTCTCTGTCTTTTGATAGTTTTCAGTCGTTTGGCCATTGTTTTTGTCTATTTTTTTTCTCGGGGTTGGATTTGAATTCATCAAGATTGATCAATATGACACTTATTTGTTATCATGTTGAGCTTCTATGCTTTGGACTCTCGGAAGATTTGGATACGCGTTTTGCGTTAGTGGATAGTTTTCTCACGTCGCTTGACTCTGATTTACGATTTGTCGGTGGTTTTTCTGTTGCTTTATCCTCTTTTATGATTCGTTTACCGATGCAGTCATATTTGTTAGTATCTTTATTTTATTCGAGCATTGATTAATTTTTTAAACCTTTTAATTTTTTGGTCCTTTTATGATCTAGTTGGCTAGTTTTTATGTCAATTGGTTATAAAACAATGTCTAAATTATAATTTAGTTTACATTGCGGTTATGCTTGTAAATCTTTATTGTGGCACTAGTGACTTTCGATCAAAAATATTTTTATTATTGTTTAAGTGATATATTTTATATAGCATCGTAGTATTAATAAGTGTAAATATAATTTAAATCTTGTAATTTTAATGTACAACATAATGTCTATAATAAATATTTTATCTTTTCAAATTCAATTTTTGACAACAACCTCGAATAACTAAATTTTAAATTACATGTTTGCTGCATTCTGCGTTTGTACTGAGAGACAAGGAGATGGATTTGTGGATGATGATATATTTTTCGTTCGTTGGGGAACCAAAACCTGAATGTTTGATTTTCCAGGAGCAACTTTGAAGAAAATGGAAAAAGAGAAGGGCATAGTTTCACGATTTGTCATTGGAAGAAGGTATACTTATCTCTACCAAATTTTCATTTTTTGTTCCTCAGGGTCTTGCAAATTTATGAAGATGGTAAGCTAGAGTCATTCTTAAGTTGCATGGTTTTACAGTGCGGACCGTGGGGACAATTTGGACAGGAGCGTTGATGATGAAAATAGGCAAACAAATGACTTTATGATTCTTGTAAGTCAACGGTACACATGCTATGCAAATTTTCTTCTTCTTTTAGAAGTCAGTTGAAAGCACTTAACTTGCTCTGTTTCATAAAGTTGGATATCGATGCAACTGTATGATGATTTCTATATACTTCCTTAACAGGATCAAGTGGAAGCACCTGGGGAGCTTCCAAAAAAGGCCAAAATGTTTTTTGCTCTTGCTGCAGACAGATGGAATGCTGATTTTTATGCAAAAGTCAACAATGATGTTTATGTAAATATCGGTTAGTACTGCAATCTATGGAAACCTTTTATCTTTCTTGATCCCTACCTTCTGCATCAATGAGAAGTTGGAGGAATCGTATGCAGAATTCTCAACTTCTCAAAGTTGAGCACTTTGTTCTATATCAGTTGCTTTACTTTGTTACTCGATTTCATGAACAACCTTAGTTATATCTATGTGAGGTCGAATTCACCATGATGATGTTCCGGGATGATCCTATGCAGTTGAAAACCATTTCTAAGATCATAAGCTGACTTAAGTGACAAATACCAAAATATCAACATATCAGAGATTTATCTTTTAAATATGTTGATTGCGGATGTTGAATAACATTAACCATGGGCTTACTGCTCGAAAATCTATAGAGTTCATTACCTGCATTCTCTGTAGTATCCTGAATTTGTTCTATCATAGTGAAAGATAAACACTTGATCGGTACACGTCTTAACACTATCAACAACTTCATGTTTTCAGATGCCTTTGGAGCTACACTTACATCTCATCTCGACAAAGCTCGTGTTTATATTTTTTTTTTTGGGATAAATTTGAATTTATTACCCAAGAGCAGAACCTGCTCAAATTTACATAGTTCTTAGATCATCAGGACAATTACATACAAAAGAATCAGAATCAAACAATGTCCCAATGCTTACAAAGATTACAATTAACACTATCAACGGTATTTAAATTTCTACCTCTGAGTTGGATACCAACTATGTACTTAATGGCTTGAAGCAGTTCATGTGCACTTCTGGAACGTCCTTGAAACAATTTCTTGTTTCTTTCTTCCCAAAGAATGTAAATCAGGGCATTAAGAGCAATTTTCATTATGAAAGTAAGCAAAGATTTTCCTTTCCAAGTAGCGGAAGCCCATGCCAGAAAAGAATCCCAAGAGCGAGCTTTATAAGGGAGACCAGAAAGGGAGAAGATTGAATTCCACAAGTAATCAGCCATAGGACAATGAAGAAATAAATGGTCCCTATTTTCCGAAGGATCATCACAGAACATGCATTGGCAATCATTGATAAGCCCCATACGAAGTAGTCTATCCTTGGTAGGAAGTCGATCAAGTAAAGCCATCCATGAAATCAAGCTATGTTTTGGTATATGAAGGGGAAACCAAACAAGTTTCTGCCAAAAAACAAGGGGTCTCTTTACCCGAATATTATCCCATATACTCCTTACTGTCGTTGAAGCAGTGGACAGAATGGAGTACGCTTCAGTAGATTGAAATTTTTCCTTAAATTCCAGCTGGTACAAGGTCGGATTTCTGCATTTCAAAAGTCGTTATCTTTAAGAAATCAGGAGAAGTTTTTTCAGAACCGTGAGTTTGGCTTAGATATAGAGCCTTCAATTTAGGATATATGAGTTTGATATATAATTGAATAGCCTCTATCTCTTCTCATGCTTGCAACTCTTGATATTGGCAGGTGCCATGAATGGTATGAACCAGATTGGTGGAAGTTTGGTGATAAAAAATTGTAAGTTTTGCTGCCCCTGGTTTCATCTTCTAGCCCACTATCTGTTAATATTATTTATCTGCCGACACTATCAAGATCCCCATTGTCGGTTTAGTTGTAAAAGCACTTGTTCTTTCCTTAATTTAAGTTCTGAAATCATCAGTTAATAAAATATGTTTCAAGTGTTTAGCTATCTTACGTATGAACGGAACTTCGAATATGTTTATCCTGATATTTGTTCTCCTTGTATGGAGTTCTTTTTTTTTTCTGGGGTTTGACAGATATTTCCGCCATGCTTCAGGTGAAATGTATGTTACATCAGGCGCTTAGGCTAAATTTATTTCAATAAACAGGTCAGGTCCTTCTTGTTACTGCACAATTTTGTGGCGCTTATGCTACAATAAAGCAAGTTGATCCTATTTTGTTTACTGCAGAAACCTTCTGCACACGTATTCTCATGATGATGTCGGCGCTGGATCGTGGATTTTAGGGCTTGATGTCAAACATGTAGATGAAGGGAAGTTTTGCTGCTCATCTTGGTCCACAGGTCTCTCTTCATCTCTCTCTCTCTTGCACGTGCACACATATGATGATGTTATGCATATTTGTAATTTACTGCAAGAACAAGCTATGCTGCTCTAACCCTTTTACCGACCCATATTTGGACATGGGTGAAATGACCATCCAGCTCAGTTGGTAGAGCACAAGGTTCTTAACCTTGAGGTCGTGGGATCGAGTCCCACGGAGGGCATTTCATAATTCGGAAGTCTCTTACGAAAGCTGCTTTGAACTTGGTGTTGGGGATATGTGAAAAAGGGACAGCCATTTGGACATGGGTATTGTAGATATGATCTTCCGAGAACCTTCAATGCATGAAAAACACTTACTTGCATTAGACGCATACTCATATCCGACACCTAAATTCTAGTAACATAGGATAGATCAAGTTGGTTCTTTTCTTGGGGTAACTAACATGCATGTTTTCTTTAATCTGGTTTCAGGAGCTATTTGTTCTGGAATTTGAATTCTTTTACAGATACCGGAATGCAAATACGAGGCCGATGCTATATAATAGGATGTATTGTTTTTCCAAATAACCACAGTCTGCTCTCATTAATTAGATCAAACGCTCCTTAAGAGTTTGATTAGAGGGCTTCTTGCTTGCACAGTAGTTGTTTTGACTGCCCATCTGATGAACCGTTGAGAGTATAGTTTGAAAATGACACGGTGACGATTATACTATTAGAGTTAATCATAGAAGCTTTAAGAGGCTTACATGATTCATTTTTATATTTGTTAGTTCTTTAGATTTGTATTAAGTTTATTCTCCAGAACAATGATTTAGGGAACAATGCAAGACACCCATACATTTAACACCAAAGATGTATCCTTTATTAGAGACGGCAAATATTATAGAATGACTATTTGTACAATCTTTTTAAAGCGGCAAAACACACGGAAATTAATGGTGTAAATCATTCCAGTTTTCATTGACATACAAACTATTTAGTTTACCATATCATGAGCTGTTAAGGAAATGTGCCAATGCCTTGTCCGTGTCATTGTCATACATGAGTAAGGCTTCAGCCACATTGTTAGATGAAAATCCCATTTCTCGCAGTAGGTTGTAGCCGGTGACAAATTCCCGAACCTACAAAGCAAATAAACAACATAAAGATATAGCAAAAAAAGACATTCTTTAATGAAATTTTGAAGACGCCGGCTGCATAACCAGTAGAATTGATGAAACTACTCGTGCTAAAGCAATTGAACAAGTTTCTCCCCCATTACAAGACTGCTTATTTTGTGCTTCGACAACATGATTTAAAGGAACCCAAGTCATTGGTCTCGGAAATTAGTGATTCCTCCTCCAACATTATGGTGCCAAAAGAAAAAGAAAACAAGTAGCCAAAAAGAAGCTGAGCATGCCAATAAACCAAAATTACTCTCTGCCACTGAAGAAAATGCAGCTACACAAGATTCTAATTGTTCACGGTGAATATTTATCCTAGTCTTAAGCATAAAGAAGGTGCAGGACCACAACTAGCTATACTAGAAGATTTGGGAGAAATCGAATCTAACATATTATATAATCTTGGAATGCTTTATAATAGACCCAAGTTTTATGCCATGACTACAATTAAGACATACACTAGGTTCTGATGATAAGTGAGCTCGCTAGGTTTTCATAATACTTTGATGCAATAACATATGCCATCATACCTTGGTCGGATTGTCACCATAATTTGCAACAGCAACAGTCACCGCTTCTCGACTGAGTCCAGAGGCAATGTATTTGCTCACCACAGGGTCTGAATTTGCACCCTGCACATTCAAATCATTCATTTTTCTTTTTCTTCTAAGATAAACCCTTAACGCTAAACAAATATAAACTAATTCAATTAAAACAACGTCGTCAAGACAAAGCACCGAACAGATCAGTTAAAATGGTAATGAAAGATATAAAAGGTCTAAATCTGTAGTGGGAATAAGAATAACATCATACCATTGATGAAGTTGTTTCGTTAGGCTTCGGAGCAAAGTTTTCCAAGCCAAGCTTGCTCCAATTAATGCTTTCTTTGTCTGCTTCAGCCAAGATTTTCCTCTCAAACTCGAAATCAAACTGGAAATTGATGCGAGAAATATCCGCAACTTGAGGAGACAATCGAGGCTGCAACAAAATGACAAATTGATTGGATTAACTTATTCATCTAATTAAAACTTCAAAATCAAGCAACTGAAAGCTTACCGGAGGAGTAATACGATATTCTGGTTTCAAAGCAACCCTAATGCCCAATCCCGCTGCCATGAAACAAAATTAGGGGGGAAAGCAAATTTAGAAAAAAAATGAAAAAATAGTAAAAAAATTTTTTTTTAGGTATATAGCTTACTGGAAGTGGAAGGAGCAGAAGTCTGGTGGAAGGAGGAGGCGCGGGTTGCGGAAGGGACAACGCTGTGAGCGGTGGGTTGAGCACCGACTCTTGGGTATAACGGAGGTACGTAAATCGGATGGGTAGATGACGATGAAGTGGATTGTTGCCGGTAAATTGGGGTCTGCGCCTCGTACGGTGGACCTGTTCTGTTCCTGAAATCATAATCCATTGCGACTCTAATCGGATCGGAGAGGAAAAAAGAATTATGCAATAGAGGAGGAAATTATTAGGAAAACGGAAAATGTCTCCTTTGCGAAGCTTTTCTTCGATGAGGATCTGATTGTTAAGTACGAGCCCACGCAATCTCGGAAATAAATTATTACAAATATGCAAATAAAAAATATTCGATCCGATTAACTTGTTGATCTGATCAAAAAATATTAGATGTATATAATGAAAATATCTGATTTTTTGAGCCGGGTATATGACTCCTTATTTTTTTTGGATTTTCGGGCCAGACCCGGATCATTGAATATTGTTTAATCGAGTACCTACCTGCCATCTTGGTACTCATTTTATATATTTTTTATTCATAATCCTCAAATTATTTAATTTTAAAGTTCTAAATTTTTCATTTTTAAAATTTTATTATTATACTCTTCTAAATTTTTAATTTATTAAATTATTTCAACTTAATATTCTAAATTATTTTTAAAATATTTCTTTTAATTTCAAAGCATTTGCAATTTAATTATATTATTTTATTTTAATTTTTAATAAATTTTATCTATCAATTATGTGATTTTAAATGTTAAATTTTTTGTGTAGATTATATATTATAGACGTTTAAATTTTAAATTTTATAAGTTTTCTATATATATATATATATATATATATAATATTTTAAAAAAAAATAAAAATTATGAATTAGGTATCGATGACTCAAAAATACAAGTACCTGAATTTTAACAGCTACACGATTTACAAGTACTCAGATATAACGGGTCAGGAGATGGGTTGATATTTTGGTACCAAAAAATTCTAGGTAGCTAAAAATACAGGTACCCTATTTTGAACACCCTTATGTACAATGTGGTTCTTGAATTATTTTTCATTTCATATGATATTTTAATTCAAATAATAAATTTATTGTGATTTTTTATCCATTTCATGATATTGATGTGATAGTTCACAGTGTTAAGGTGATAGTTCACGATCGTTGTTAACATGATAGATGAACTAAATTGATTCTTTGATCTTGTTCGAAGGTCAAATTAATTTTTTATAAAATTTAAAGATTTATTTTTTAAAATAATTAAAAACTATATTAAATTTTAAGTTTAAAATATAAAAATCTGCAAATGTTGAAAAGTATAAATATAAAATCAAAATTAAATTACTTCAAAATAATATATATATATATATATAATAAAATTATTATTTTTTAAAATAAATATATATCATGAACTATAAATTAATAATTATAAATTATTAAAAATATTTTTTAATATATATATATATATATATATATATATTATACATAATACATGCATATAATATATAATTATATCATTAACACTTATACAATATGATTTTTTACTTTATTACTTATTAATCAAGTTGTTCATCTTTATTTCTTATTATTTTTTAAATCACGGGTTCTAAATTCACTCAGAGTATTCTCTTTTTTCTCTTAGAATTTCCTTATCCTTTTTTCTAGATAGAATTAGATTTAAATTAAAATTTTGTAATAAAATGAGATTTTAAAAATATGAATTGTTATAATTTACTTTTTTTTTAAACAAGTTTTATTTAGGATGATATAAAAGAGAAACTTGATTCATAATCATAATCTATAATTTAAGAGGAGTAAATTGAATTATTCTTCACTGAACTTTAATCTCTTTTATTTTACTCACTGTACTTTAAAAAATTTAATTTACTCACCAAACTTTATACATTAGATTTTTTGTCACTTCTCCGTTAATTCCCTAGTTTGTGTTGACATGACATTTTTTATTAATTTTTAAATCAATTAATATTTTTTTATATATTTTTCACCCTCCACAATCCATCTCTCACTCATCTTCATTAGCATTATTCTTCACCATCCATTTACTACTCACCAGCCCCGACGGGATACCGACAAGGACCTTTTCGTTAGCATTATGTTCACTTTCGATACTGCTCTCGAAGCAAGCCATAAGAATCTCATACTAACCCAAGCTAATTGCTATGATTCCATGTCGACATAAAGAAGACCTGCCGAACCCATAACCCTTGTAGGCCATGGAATTCAATAGTTGGTGTTGAGGGTATTCCTCAAGGTCCGAGTAGGCAACCCGAAAACCCAGTACCTTCATTCAAAAAGTGTATTCCTGGACCGCAAACAACACATGCGATAATATCAGCCCCACGGTAATATTGTTGTTGGTTAGAACATATCCAACCATTGTGGTTGCCAATGTCATATACATAGTTTGCTTCTATAAACACGTCGCCATCAAATAAAACCAGTGAAGCAAGTATCATTTCACCCTCAAATGAAGTCATATGTACAGAGACCTAAGAAAACACCATTAAGTGAAGATGAAAATGCTCTAACGATTATCAGAAATATGTTCCAATAATCATTTTGTTTTGCCATGTTTCCCTTTCCTTAACCCTTTCATTTTAATCTTAGGTTTAGGGGGTTTCAAAATTATATTTTTTAATATTTGATTACTCCATTGTAACACTAATAGATATCCAATTTGTGACGACGATGATGTTAATAACAGGAGTGAATATGGGATGGGGTAATGAAGGAAAGAAGAAGGTTAGTAAATTTCTCAAACCCTTTTTTTTTTCTGTTAGCATCTGCATGTAAAGATTTGTGAACTTGATTGTGCATTTATCGATGTGTTATTCTTATATGCTTAGGTTGTGTTTCATTAACCATCTTTATTAGTTTAAAAAATTAGTACCTAATTACATGTTTCTTTCCGGCAGTTTTCAAGTTGCAAAGAAAAGTTAGAAATGGTCGAGCATATTCCTTAAGAAATGGGCAAACATATTCAAGATAACGAAATAAGAAACAAGAAAAAATAAATCAACAAGTTCACACAGCTGAGAGGACATTTGAAAGACTAGAAAGAATTGTCTTTGTAATTCATTAATGGGGTTGCTTGATGGAGAAAGAGAAAGGGTTGCTGAGTTGAGATGATTTGCAGAATGATAGGAAAAAAAGTGGACAATTGATAATTTTGGCATTGGACAACAAATGAGGGGTGTTGATTTGATATGGGATTCAAATGGCCTGAAGCATTCATAAAAGTTGGGTTGACTTTGGCCTTCAACTTTTTATTTGAGCCACGTAATAACCACGTTAAGAAATTAACGGTAAAGTGAGTAAAAAAATTTAATATACAGTGAGTGAAATAGTAAATAAAATAAAGTTTAGTGGTAAATTATTTAATTTATCCATTTAAGAGAGAAAAGATATTGATTGAGTGCTTTAATTATTAGCTCTAAAAATTATTGAAAATTGTTATAGTTTACTTAAATTATATCAGACATAATTAAAACTTATTTTCACTCTAATTTATTAATTATTTGTATAATTTACTCTATAATTAGATAGAAAATTGCATAAATACAATAAAAGAATTATAATGAAATACCCCCCGGAGGAAGAACACCAATTATGGGACCCACAAGAGAATAACGCTCGAAAGACGGCGGCCCACCCATTTATAAAATCCGCCACTACACTCGATCAAAAAATCGCCAATCTTTTTGTTCGTCATTTCTTATTCATTTCCCCTTCCTTCGATCTAAAACCCTTTGCTCTCTTACCCGCCCAAAGTTCATTCAGGCATTCAACTGCCGCCCCCCTCTAAAGGAGGATCATCTTTTCAGGTTCGATCTCTAAGATTTATCTCTTTGAATTGTTCCTTTATTATTATTTTTTTATCTTTTTTACCTATGCTCTATGGATCGTAGGTTTCGCGATGGCATCAAAGCGGATCTTGAAGGAATTGAAGGATTTACAGAAGGATCCTCCTACATCTTGCAGCGCTGGTATAACCTTCACCATTTCGCTATTTTTATTAACATTTATCCAAATATTGATGGTTTTTGTCACTGTATTACTGCGAGACGGTAGATTTATCGGTATACATGTTTCGAATATAATTGAGGATTAGAAAAATTGTTGATGTAATTGTCAGTGTTTTTCTTATAGAAAGGTTGTTGAAACGATAGTAACAGTTGTTTGCGATTATTCATAAATGATTGCAATTTTCGTTTAACGTTTTGCCTCATAATCTTGTTGATTTTCCACCCCAAAAAAAATCCTATCACCGAAAAGGGAAAATCTAGCTAAAAACGTTTGAAATCATAGTTTTATACTTTTATGAATTAATTTTTTGTCGAACTGAAAGTAGCCCTCAGTTTTCATATTCGGTCACGAATTATATAACATGTCTAAACTATATAGGTTCTGTGAGACACCTGTATATGTGTATTTTGTCCTATCATGTTTTAAGTTGATGTTGAGAAAGGTATTTGACATATTTGATGCATTTATAAATTGGTGGTAATGACTGCGCTTTCATCATGTGATAGCATCATCAGTTGAATTGTTTTGATTTGTTTGCAATGATTCCAAAGACAGATTAGTAGATGGAAGGAATATGTATTTTTTTTTAATTTTTATGCGATGGATGTTATTGTGCCTTTTCGACATATAATAAGAGGCAGTAAAATGAAGGGTGATATTCATTATCATGCCAATGCTTAAACCGCATCTGTATATGATATGTCAAACACAGTTTTGATAGGGTGAAGTAGGAAGCAGATCCTTAATTTGTTGTAACCCCTTTCTGTTATATAGTTTATGACCATAGTTGATAGCAAGTGTTGTATGCAACATCTAGTTGGATTGATTTGCCTAACCTTGGGTTTGTTGTCTAGTTGATTGGGCCTAACCTTGATTGTCAAGTTGATTGATATTCTCTAGCTTCTCTAAGTTAAGGATATCAATATTTCATAAAATATCTACATGTTTTTTTCTAATGTTGTTTTCACTCACGTTTTTCTTCTGTTGGTTGTGTATGTACAAGTGCCCAACGAGTATCACTGACCTGCATTACTTGCATATTGCTAATAGTTCATTGGACAATATTGCAGGTCCTGTTGCCGAAGACATGTTTCACTGGCAGGCAACAATCATGGGTCCACCGGACAGTCCTTATGCTGGGGGTGTTTTCCTGGTGACCATCCATTTTCCTCCAGATTATCCCTTTAAGCCTCCCAAGGTACTTTTTATGTGCGGTTTTTCTTTACCATAGTGGTAGGATATTA